CAGCCTGGTCTACAAGAGCTAGTTCCAGGACTGGCCCCAAAGCTACAGAGAAACCCTGTCTCGGGGGGAAAAAAAAAGTTAAAAAAAAAAAAAGCAATGACAACATTTCAGGTGGCAAATTGGCTAGAAGTAAACACTTGTGGAGAAGACAAAATCAATAGCTATTTTAGCTGAGTGAACGTCTTGAATAGATGTGTAGAGGGCACAAGGTCCTTGTGCTCAGAGACAAGCACTAGGGAAACCTGAATGTTTAAACAGGCAGCGTGGTCTCCTTAGCAGAGGGGACGTACACCTGTTTTTCACCCAGAAATCTGGGAAGTCATTAAAAGCCTGGTGATCTGTGCCATCTGTAGGCCACGTGAATCTACGTGTTTAACGCGGACCTTTCTTCCCTAGATAGACCTTTATCTTGAGTACTCTCAGTCAATAGAACCCATCCCATGTCCTTTACAGTAGCCTAGTGACCTCTGTGCTACCTGTAGGGCCAGGCCACTCTGGACTCCCACAATTTTATGTTAACTTCCATCATTCTTCCTACACCCTTATATTGAACACCGTCTCAGTGATGAGAACGCATCTTAAAGAGGCCGTATGTACTTACGAGTTTCAATGTAAACTTGTTTTAAGTTGGATTGCACACACACAGGATTGAGTTACCATCAGAAAACTTCCTTCCAAAATCATGCTGTGCTTAAATATGCCTAAAATAAACTGCCCAGTGCCAGACTCCAGACTCTAGAAGTGTGTACCAACACCAGTTCCTGAGTCACGTTGAACTGGATTTTTCTTGTCTCATTTGGATTGTTGCTACTCTGCTGGCTCTGGGGTTTGCAGAGACCCCCAAAAGATGAATCGAGGAGGAAGATGTGTTGTGATGCACCCCTCCGTGTTTTGGGTTGAGTTCTTGGAGCATCCCTGAGCCTTGACCACTCTTGAGCGGAAGGCTGCAGGTATGTGGAGGTCAGAGGGTGACTGGAGGGAGTTATTGCTTTCTTTCGTGGGTTTTGCTGATGGAACTCAAGTCCTCAGGCCTGCCAGCAAGTGCTTTTATCTGTTGAGTCATCTTTTAGGCCCTGAAGTTGTTATCTAAAGAGACCAAAAGAGAAATTCGGAGTAAATCCCCGAAGGACTGTATGGAGGTTAGGACCCGAGAGCCAAGAACACAAATACTCCATAATACCTGGGAACCATCAGGATTTCTTTATCTTGTACTGTATTAGTGAGCCAGTATTCAGACACTGACTCATGAGAATAATCAGAACAGACCTTATCTACTTCCTTCATTTTACAACGAAGAAAACAAAATTCACTCTGACATGGATTTGACCTTGAATTTTCTATTTCACGTAATTAAAATTGCTCCCCAGCTATTTCGTGAAGCACAGAACAATATTCACTACTTCTGCTATATTCCACCCTGCCCCAGATCCAATTCTTGGTGATCATCGCACAAACCTAAAACTAAATTGTACAGAATGGCTCCTTGCAAGCAGCGTGTTAAAACTAACGTGGCTAGAAAAGTATTCAGTCCGTGAATGAAGTAGACTCCTCCATTCGTTTCTCCGTGGGATGAGGTGATGTCTGAGGTCTGTCTTGGTTTCCTCTTCAATTTTTTGCAGACAGTATCACGTCTGACCTAGGGACACATAACTTTAGCTAGCTTCCCCGACAGGTTCTAAGAAGCCAGGCGGGCTCTTAACTGCCTTAACTACACGAGGCGGAAACGTGCCACCCAGGTCACCGGCCGACTCCCGACCTCTGCCCACCCCTGAGCGAGGTCCACTGTGGGTCGCTCAGGCTGAGCCCTGGGCGCGGCGCTCAAGCCAGCGCGTCCGCGGTCCGCCCCGCCCACCCTCTCCGGAGCCACGCCTCCACTCCGCGCAAGCCGCGGGTCGGCCCTCGGTGCTTGCGTGCGCGGGGCGGGGCGCGGAGGGAGACACCCGGCTGGTCGGCGAGTGGCCGGGGCGGGGTTGCGCGCGCGCACCAAGGCTTCCTCGCCCTGCGTTTGCGTGCGCGGCCGAGGCCCGCCGCGGCGCTGTGCGGTTCCGGCGTCGGGGCCCGGCATGGCGGGGGTCGGGGCCAGGCCGGGCCGGACCCGGACCTAAATGCCTCTACTTCTCTCCGCGCTGTTGGTCTTGCTGCTGGTTGCGCTTAGCGCACTCTTCCTAGGCCGGTGAGGGGCTTCCAGCCACAACGGTGGTGGTAGGGTGACCGGACGAGGAAGAGGGTTTGGAGGAGGCGCGGGCTGGTCGGGCGCAGTAGGCGGGGTGGGGGTGGGGGGCTGGGAGCGGGAGGGGGCGCTCAGCCCAGACTGCGGTGACAGAAGGCGAGGTGAGGGCGTCGGGAGAGGGGGCGCAGAAGCATCGGGCGGGGCCCGGAGCTCTGCAGAGGCCAGGAACTGAGTAGGTGTGTGTGAGGAAGGGGCCTCCTCGGCGGTCTCCTTTTCCGCTCCTTTCGCCCCGAACGTCCTCTTCCCAGATTGCGAAGGGCACCTGCAGCCCCGCCCTGGAGAGAGGTCAGGAGGACTGGCTGTCTAGGGAAAAGCGGTTATTTGAGTTGTCCCGAGTGTGACCTCTGCCTTTTTGCAAACGTCGGACGCGGGTGGGGACGCGGAGAGAGACCCTTTAGGGAGTCTGTGATGACGTGTTTCTTCACTTTGACCGCTTTTGAGGACCTTTTTTTACTTTGGGTTCCTAAAGATTTGAGGATTTTTATTTAATTTTTTTTGTTTTGTTTTGTTTCCTGTTTTGTAGGGTGAGTTTAGTTTGTCTGGTTTCGTTTGAATTTAGGGACCCGTGGCCCTAATTATTGTGGCTAAAAGTAAGTGACAGAGAAGTGCTTTAGGAAAATCGGAAAGTTCCCAAGAAATATCCGGCTTCAGGATATCACTTATTTGCAAGGATTTTCTAGAACCAAACAGGAAAGAGGGTCTTAAAATTAAACTGATTTTTATCCAGGTGGCTTGTGGTCCGGTTGGCCACCAGGTGGTGTCAGCGGAAGTTGCAGGCAGAACTAAAGATTGGCTCATTCCGATTTTTCTGGATCCAAAATGTCAGTCTTAAGTTTCAGCAGCACCAGCATACGGTGGTGAGTTCTGGGAATGCCGCGTGCGTACACGCGCGCGTGCGTGTGTTTTATTGTTGTTTGGGGTGGGGGCAAGTGGTGGATCTAGCTAAATTTCAAACTTTAGCCTCCTTCACAGGTAGTTTTCCTAGTTAACGCCACCATTGTTATTTCTAGGAGCTACTTGGAGGATTGCTGCAATTGATGCTAGTTGTTTTAAGTGTTTAGAGGGCCAGAACTGGAAGTAGACACCTGAAATCCTTGCTATTCAAGAGGCTGAGGCAAGAGGATTCTAAGTTCAAGGCCTACCTGGACAACTTAGTGAGGGCTAGCCTCAAAATTAAAAGGAGCTGGAGTGGTTCAGTCAGTGGTAGAGCCTGGCCGGCATAAACTGGATCCTGTTTAGTATCTAGCACCAAACAAAATAAAATGGCACAGCCGGGAAGTGGTGGCACAGGCCTTTAATCCCAGCACTCAGGAGGCAGAGGCAGGTGGATCTCTGGGAGTTCAAGGTCAGC